TCTGAGAGCTGTTTATATAGTAAAAACAGTTCTTGAACTGCTGGAAGCCTTTTCATCCTGTCAGAACTCAGGGCTAGTTGATCAGATGTTTCTGTGGGCAGCCTTCAAGAGATCCTCTGACATTTTCGTCATAAGTCTTCCCCGAAGCCTATCTACTGGGGGAGGAGAATCGGGAGGCAGTTCAGCTGTTTGTGTTTCTAATCGCTCAGCATTCTCCTCAGCTACAGTTAACTCCTCAGGTTCTGGATCTTCAGCTGCACTCATGACACATAACCTATTCGGCATAATAAGGGTGAACGCCACAGTAGACTTCAGCAGTATGTGGACCGAGAACTCCCAGAAGTACAAGCTGGATTTCAAAGGGGCACAGGAACTAGAGACCAAGCTGGATTATGGAGAAAGCCAGAGAGTTCCAGAAAAACACCTACTTATGCTTCATTGACTACGTAAAAACCTTTGGATGTGTGGACCACAGCAAACTATGGAAAGTTCTTAAAGAAATGGGAGTGCCTGATTGTCATGAGTGCACCCGAAGATCTGAACCCAGAAGGGTTAACTGTGGCTGAGGAGAATCTGGAGAGATTAGAAACAGCTGAGCAGCCTCCAGATTCTCCCTCCACAGCAGACAGGCTTCAGGGCAGGCTTCGGAAAAGACTCTAAAGCTTTCCACAGGGACCTGCGCTCACCTAGCCCTGAGTATTAGCAGAATGGAGAGCGTTCCAACAGCTCAGGGAGCTGTTTTAGGATAAAATGAGCTTCAGCAAAGCAGGAAACTTTGTGGAAGCAAGGTGTTGAAAACCTGTTTGGCATCCACGTCTCCTGCTCTTGTACCCTGGACCTTGACCCTGGATCTGCGTTGCATCGGACTTCGGACCTTGGCTTTGGACTACGTGCTTTGTACCCTGGACTCTGACCGTGTATCTGGACCTGGACTTTGCCTTTCGCTCTGCACTCTGTAAGTTTGTTTGGAACTCTGGCTTTGAACTCTTGGTATTGCTGACCTTGGACTGATTATCAGACTCTGGCTTGTCGTAACTCCCGGGAACGTGACAGATTGCTTCCACCCCCACACTTTTCCCACCATGGAGGGAAAAGCAAACAAAGACCCAGGCCCATTGAATGTTGTGTTTTCTCAGATACAATATCTCTCACAAGTGGTTGGTCAGCTTCAACAACAAATACAACTACAGACCGACGCTGCCGCTCAAGCTAGATGCCCTGTACTGCCTCCTGAAAAATTTGAAGGCAATGTAGAGGAGTTCCCGGCATTCTTGGCACAATGCAAACTGTATATTGAACTGTGTGCTAGAGACTTTCCTACAGACCAAACCAAGGTATGCTTTATAATTAGTTTACTTAAAGGTCAAGCGGCTAAATGGGCGACTCCCCTGCTCCTTGCTCCTTCACCCCTGTTAACTAATTATTCAGGGTTTCTGGAATATATCTCGGCCGCATTTGCTAACCCTTTGCGAGCTGCCACTGCCAATAGAAAAATTCGGGCTCTGAAACAGAGAAAAGCCTCAGTTTCTCAGTACTCCACTGAGTTCAGACTCCTGGCTCAAGACTTACTCTGGAATGAGGCAGCCCTTATGGACCAGTACATGGAAGGGTTAGCTGATAGAATCCTGGATGAACTGGCACGTGTAGACCGACCCAACACGTTGCAAGAGCTCATCACACCAACATGAATTTGACCAAACTACAGGAGGCAGTGGAAGACTGGAGGGCCTGGTGTGCTCTGGTTCATGGGGTCACGAAGCGTTGGACACGAATTGTTTATATGTTGTTTTCATGCTTTTACTGTAAGCCGCCCAGAGTAGACGTAGTCTAGATGAGTGGGATAAAAATCTAATAAATAAAATAAAATAAAATAAAATAAAATAAAATGGTGGTGGACAGTTGTAGTGCACTTAGGCATAGTGTCAGGTCCAATAGACCTTCCCGAGGTACAGAAACGTTGACAAATACCCAAAGATGATTGGTAAAAAATAATCACAAGAAAACTGAAAGTGTCAATCAGATGAGATATTAAATATAGATTAGTGAGGGCTAAAATTAATTTAATTCTACAACTTCTCAAACAAATATTTACTTAATTTTTATAATGGATAAAGCAGACTTCTTCCACAATGTATCTCATAATGTAAAATCATAATGTAAAATCATGCACTATGTAAAAGTTGTTTTATATATATTTATTGTACTATTTTATGAATAGTGTTTTTTTTATAGACAATGGTTACTCCCCCACCCCATCCCTCCAGTCTACCCTGGTGTAGGACTGCATAACATGGAGGACAGGCAAGAGTCAAGGGAACACTCCCTTCCCTGCAGATCCAACTATTTTATGTTGTTAGCCGCCTAGAGTGGTCCTAATCTGACTAGATAGGCGGGATATAAATTAAATAAATAAATAAATAAATAAATAAGGATGAGCATGTTTCAAAAGAGAAATGCAATATAAGCACCATGAAACTAATTAAAAGGCAACACTCCTTAATCAGAAATACAACCAACAAACCACCCAAGGAAATATAAAATCCAGAATGTTAAATTAAAAGAGAGGACAAATCGTATGTAAATTATAATTTAAAATACTTTAGCAACAGTTAACATTTGAATGTGATGTAAAAAAAAGGAAAAAAAGGTTGGTACCAAACATACCAATCTTGAGGGTATATTCCAAAATCAAGACAACACAATGACATTATGGGTACCATTTTGATTTTTATACAGATCTGGAGGCATTATGTATGTGGCCTTTGGTCAGGAATCTATGGCTCTGCAACACACAAGTTTTTGCATTACAACATTTCACCTCAGGCACATGCTGCCAGCACAAGAGAAGGACCCAATGCCTATTATATGTGTCATTTTCTGGAATGCATGCCATTTGCTCAGGGCATTGTGAGTTCATTGTGAATCTGACTCATAATGTTTTCCTCTTAAGAACACTGGACCAAAGTGTGCTTTCCTTTGAAAGAGGTTTCGTTCTGCAGTCTGCACTCAAATGTAGTAGAAGTTGGATTGTTTGTTATCCCTTCTGTTGTGTTACCTGTGAGGGAAATGGACTGCACTGTTTCAAGCAAATTTTGGAGCTGGAATTATGTGGCAGTATTGTAAGGTTCTTAGGAGAATGTAATATAGTAACAAAAAGTAACAAATATTAACATGTTCCTTTGATTAGTTTCATGATTTTCTTCACAAATGCACCCAAACCATTGTGCAGAAGCAGATTATGTAAATATCTCGTCATTAGAAAGGGAGATTTTAACAGGTCAGATTCATTTCCATATACTAACATCTCATCATATGGCAAACTACTTTGCTTTTGTTTAGAGACTGGTCATCAGCCATTTTATTTATTTATTTATTTAATCTATGTGATTCTTCAGTCACAAAAGTATATGGCATCACATCTCTGGGAGGGGGAATGATATCACTTGCTAGTTATGGAGGACAATGTCTCATCTTCTCTGACTCTCCCATTATGGTGAACAGGTGTGTTTGCTAGACTGAAGTGACAGTGGTGTGACACAATAAGAACTGTAGTTCAGATACGGGCTTGAAAAGCACTGCCAAATACCATGCTTAGATGAGCCGCCATTCTTTCAATGAGACTTTTGGGTTTACATAGTGAGCCCCACAGAGCCAGAGAACTCCTTGCCCCTAATTAGCCTAGCTGATGACCTCGCCAGGCTTACACAATGTTGTTTACAGCAACAGGATTTCAGTCATTAGAAATGTGGCTGAAAAAATGAAGAAACTACTAAAGTGGCATTTGAAAGGGACAGTCAAAAGACTGAGATCTTTCAGAACACAAAGACACTAAAAGCCACACTAACAGAAGCTCAGCTATAGGATCAGTGTTCATGTGCATATGATTCCAACTATGTATAATGCTTTTGAGGATTTGGGGCTTTTTATTTCTTTTTTAAACCATTGTGCATATGCATATTGCACATCCATGGACAGAAAAGACCAAGAAATGGTTGGACAGAGGGGGAGCTGTGAAGATGGAGGGCCACAGAAATAAATGAATGAGAAAAGAACTAAATGGGGAAAAAGAGAAAGGATGTAGTAGTTGTTGTGAATGGAGCACTGCAATCCTTTGGGCAGGAAACATTGTCTTGCCCACCTTAAAGTAGGAAACCCTGGAACACTCACTGATCCAATAATCTGAAGCAGTTTTAGTGTATCAGGGCACACTGACCCACCCCCGTGAGAAGTGTCAAGAGAACTATTGGAGAAAACAGGACTTCTTCCAGAAAATGAACATACTGTATGGGGGAAGTGTTGCAAAAATAATCAGAATGAATGAATGTATATGGCTTTTGCTTTAGCAAAATGTTGAATAAAGACAACAAAATCAAGGATTATAAAATTATTCATATCCAGGAGAGATGCAGAGCATGGCAGAAAGGTTTTTCCCCCCTCCATCTCTAATACAGTACGTAACACTAAATAGAACCTGGGGTCACCTCACACAGTTTGATAGCAGGAGATTCAGCACACAGTTGAACTATTTCACCACTACAACAGCAAAATGTTGAATAAAGACAACAAAATCGAGGATTACCTGTATAAAATTATTCATATCCAGGAGAGATGCAGAGCATGGCAGAAAGGTTTTTCCCCCCTCCATCTCTAATACAGTACGTAACACTAAATAGAACCTGGGGTCACCTCACACAGTTTGATAGCAGGAGATTCAGCACACAGTTGAACTATTTCACCACTACAACGTACTGCTTACCATCAATACACTAAATATAACCATTTTCAATTTTGATTTAAAAACAAAACAAAAAGCATAACAGAGACTTAAACTTTTTCAAAATTGTATCATCTGGATCTATGTTTCTCTCCAGAAATTCAGCAATGATAAACAAAAGCTGAAAGGAATAAGTAGGGTGTAAGTTGTATTACTGGAGCTACCTAATTCACAGGGCTATTAATACCGCTGCAGCTTGTTGTGATGCAACAAACTCCCACCCTTTTCTGAGAACAGAGCAGGCAGTCCTCACAGGCAGCAACGAGCTGTCCTTTATAAAAGTTGCTGAAGCCTTGCATACTTCCTCCCTGGGCTTGCTTCTCAGAAAAGATGAAGCTCGTATACACCCTTTTGCTCCAGACAGCTTTGCTGCTTTTCACAAATGGATCTACTGTGCCAGAAGATAGCACAGATGCTGTTGGAGAAGAAAGGCTGACTGATGCTTGTCCTATAAAGCTGAAAACTAGCGGGAAATGTGATGGAGAGGAATGCCCTTATCAGGTTAACTTGCCTCCAATGACCCTCCAGCTACCCAAACAGTTTCGACTGATTGAAAAGACTCTCAAAGAAGTTCAGAATCTTAAGGAAGTTGTAAACAAGCTGAAGAAGTCCTGCCAAGATTGCAAGCTGCAGGCGGATGACAACCAAGAAAGAGACAGCCATGAGTTCCTGCCACCTGGCACAGACGACAGTTCAAGAGATTACAGCAAAATACAAGACAACAGAGTCAGAGAACTGCACAGCAAGGTTTCCAGGCTGTCAGCCAGCCTGAAGAATGCAAGGAACCAGATCTATTCTTTACAGGGTCGCTTGGAGCAAATGAGCCTGGTAAACATGAACAACGTGGAGAACTTTGTTGACAACAGAATTGCCAACCTGACATTCGCTGTTAACAATCTGAGTGATAAGTGTTCTTCAAACTGTCCAGCCACACAACCAAGTACAGGTAAGTCCATTTTTACCATTTCAGGAATGCTGCTCATACTGGAAGAATTAGAACAGCATGAGAGGGCAAGAATTTTACATAGAACACCATGTTATTTAAGAACGATGTTATATTTGGATACTGAGGATACAGTAGAGAAGTACGATTCACTGCACTGATAGTGAAAGGGACACATAATATACAGTAGCATCATCTTTTCGGCCAAGAAGAGGGAAGCTTTGACATGAATGATTACTGCTGTCATTTAACTTTTAAGTTGAACCAGCCTTCCAGATATGTACTTGGTGGAGATAGACATCGCTGCCTACACTGCAATGTTCTGCAATCCATCTGAATGGTCAGAGGCATCTTTTGATGCACCCAGGGGCATGTGTTCCCACATGGTGCCACCAGTTACACAAATATTTTGCCTATTTTGCCATTGGCTAGAGTTGGACCAGAACGAGTACCTTTTAGACAGAGATTGGGGACATGTGTAGAAATACCAGCCAACAAGCCAATTGTAAGAGACCATGGGAGTTGTAGTCCCAAGCATCAGGAGGGACAAAAAATTCCCACAATTGGCTGCTATCTTGTTCAACATTTACACATGCGGCGCTCCAACTGTGGATGCTGCCTCAGCAACTTGACAAGATGCTGGTAGTATGCTTGGTCACACACAACTGGGATCATGTCGGATTACCAGTGCAGCCTTCACAGGTGGTGCCCCACAAATGCATACACATTGAACAGATACTGGTCAGTCTTTTCAGGTTCAGCCCTGAAGTACAGAAGAGGACAGATGCCAAAATGAAGGTTTTAGTTTTACTGGGGGCTGCAATCACATTTATACATACACAATTTCAGTTCAGAGACAAAGCATTAAACAAATATATTTCTTGTACAGGGGTAAGAGTGTGGTGGCTATACTTAGGATTTTGTCTTGTGTGGGTTTTTTCAAACCATTTACACTGTAGTTTGAACAGCTGAACACTGTTTCATCCACAGCTTGTCATGATTGTATTAGATTTCCTTCAAACCATTTACTACACACAGAGGTATTATTAACTGTCTCAGTTTTATATTAGCTTACAGTTGTATACATTTTAACAAACAACTTAAATTCTCTTTGAAATGTTATTGTCTATTAGTGTAGAAAATGTTAATAAATAACCTGTCACATTATATAAATTTGGGAGTATAAAAGTAGGTGTAGACTTACAGATAGATGGCAGAAACGATTATATTTTACAGCCGTGTTCATATAAATTTAAACAGCATTAATATATTCCAAATGGACAGCACATGATATATGGAGAATGGAATCTTGGCAAATTTATACACAAAGGAAAATGAAATTTATATTGGCTATGATTTCCCTCTGAGAAAGTAGTTTAGGTGTCACATTTAAAATTAGATTACATTCTCTCTCTCTCTCTCTCTCTCACTTACACACACACACACACTCGCACACACACGTTTAAATTGCAGTACTGCAGTCAAGGCTCTGCTCATGACCTGAGTTTGATCTTGACGGATTCAGGTAGCCAGCACAAGGTTGACTCATCCTTCCAAGGTTGGGAAAATGTGTTTGATTTGGGGGGGGGAGTGTGTTTGTATAATTATGTTGTGAACAATCCACAGAGCATTTTAATACTACGGAGCGGTACAACTCAAAACAACATGTGTTATGGGTGACATCTCTCATCAGAATTGGGCTGTTATTTGCAGCTGGGGACTCCTGTCACAGTAAGCTGGAGTTGTAGACAACCCTGCCTTCTACCTTTCCGAGCATTGTTGTTTTTTTTCCAAAGATCCTGCCTTCTCCTGATGCGCTCAAAGGAGAATAGCCTCAGTTTCAACATTTTTGCCTCCAGAGATAGTTCAAGTTTGATTCGATCTAGGACCCACTTGTTTTGTCTTTCTCGCAGCCCAGGATACCTGCAAAGCTTTCCCCCCGGCATCATACTTCAAACAAATCAATTTTTTCCTATCAACTTTCTTAACTGTACAGCTTTCAAACCCATACATGGTGGCTGGAAATGCAAAAGTGTGGATGATCTTGGTCTCTAGTCACACATCCTTATACTTGATTATCTTTTCTAATTCCTTCATTGCTGCAGTCTCCATTTGGATTGACACTTTGTATTTAAATTGTTGGGGGACGCATGAATTAAAGTATCAGGTTCACATATTACAGTAAGAAGTAAACCACAGGAAATAGGTATATTCTTTGTTCAGCCACACTTGTAACACAGAGAGAAAAACTACAGGTGTTGTTCACTATAACCCAAAATTCTGAAGAACCTAGTCTTATTGTGACATCCAGATACATCTCCCTTTTTCTTTTTTCTCCCTTTTTCTTCTTTTCTTCCTTTCCCATCTTGGACTCTGTGATTAATCTGGATTTTACCTTAGTTTATTTTTATGTTATATGTAAACTGCCCAGAGTAGACACATTCTAGATGGGCGGTATATAAATTGAATAAATAAATAAAATACTGTAGTGTTTTGCATTTCACATGGTAAGTTTTTCAAGAATAGCTATGTCTATTTATTTCAAAGCAATAAATCCCACCCCCAAGATGTAGTTGCACATTTATTTGCTTTAAATAGATTTCAACAGAAAAAAAGCAGCTGTCAAATGCAGTGGACATTTCTGACGAATATCGCACAGGAAAAGAGTCAGCAGATCACAGATTAAGCAACAGAACTGCACAAAAAGAAACAACAAGGACTCCTGTGACTAACATGTTTCTTTGGCTTGAGCTTTCATAGATTGTATTCCACCTCTTCAGAGGCATCTGAACTTTTATGCAAAGCAAAACTTGTTTGTCTCTAAGGTGACATAAGACTGCTGATTTTGTCATGACACAATTTTTGACTTAACACAACTATTATTTTTTTTATTACCATGTTTCTCCGAAAATAAGACAGGGTTTTACGTATATTAATTTTTGTTCCAAAAAATGCCTTAGGGCTTATTTTCAGGGGATGTTTTATTTTTCTTAATGTACAGTACAACAATCTATGTTTATTCAAATACAGTCATGTCATCTTCTTCTGGTTGCTACACAATGGTGGAGGGTGGCGTTTCACTTAACTATGGCTTATTTTTGAGGTAGGGCTTATATTACAAGCATCCTGGAAAATCATACTAAGGATTATTTTCAGGTTAGGTCTTATTTTCGTGGAAACAGAATAGTTTTATTTGTATGTTGCATTTCTCCCAGCAAAGGGACCCAAGGCAGCTCACAGCATTAAAAGTCACACAACTAAAACACAATACGTCAATGAGGGTCCGGCTCTTGAAGCCAGACCATCCACTTACATGCCCTGCTGTGGCACTGGTCTCGCTCATCCTTCCAATCATGCCCGGAGCACTGATTTCTTCCCGCTCAGCTGGCCACTCAGCAGCCATGCAGAGAGACTCGTCCTCCTGCCTCCTGCCTGGAGTGGCCAGCTAAGCAGGAAGAGAGAGGCACTCCAGGTGTGATTGGAAGGATGAGCAGGACCGGCGCCACAGCAGGATGCGCGAGTGGACAGTCCGGCCCCAGGCGCCACACCCTCATTACATGAAGCTGCATGGGGATATTCGTATTCATATATGAATAAGAATACTCCAACTCTAATCAGGGGTCATCAGAACCTTTAAGGTTCATTGGACACAGTAGTGTACAGAAAGGATTGTCAACATTATGGAAGACAACCCTGATCTCTCTCTCTCTCTCTCTCTGAGAGAGAATCAACTGACGATGCCATGTAGTTATGTTTTGGGGGGCATAAGAATTACACATGGATTTTGAACTACACGGGGGTCCAGGGCTCCTAACTCTAGCATTGTTAATGGAAAAAGTATACATATATTGGTCACATCTGTATGAAAACATACTTGCGAAGCCTACTATTATGAGTAGGTAAGAAGATAACACATATTATCTTCAGGAAACACCTGGAAGAATTACATTTTTGAATAAAATAACATGTTACATTCTTGCTCAGCTCACTGTCCAAATGCATTTCCACTCCAAAACCCCAACGGATATGTAATATCATTTTGACAGGAAACCAGTGTCATGTTCATAAATGACATGGCACAAAGTGTCATTTGTACATAATTGTTTGAGGCAGCTAGGAAAAACACTGATGTTTTGACCCCAAAAAACAATAGGCAACTATAGCCAACTTTAGTCCAATCTTCTTGAAAATAAAAATACTCTGCTTATTCTGTAATAAAGCTGACTTATAGTAGCCGCTAAAATCATATGAACAACTTTCTTGAAGCACTACACAGAGGAGGACTCATCACACAGATCACTTATTTAACAGGTGGTGCAAATATCTAGAGCTTTCACATACAGCTAAGTAAGAATATGCATGTTTGTCTCAGAGGCTCCCAACAGCATACCTCATTGGCTCCTAGATCTTTTATGAAAGAGGCCCATCCTCTGTTTGGTGTCCTCCTATCGGCTCCACCTTTTGTCCTGGATGGAGTAGGTCCACCACTGTAGGGGTCCATGAGGATCAGAGTATGTTTAATACATGAGGACGGTTCTTGTAAAAAAAATGTTCACCTCTATGGAGATTTCGTAGATTTAGGATTTCTGAGGTTCTATCAAACAGAGCTTTTAAAAACCAAAATGAACAATCACCAATAAACTGAAATCGACAGATATCCATTTTGTTGTCTTTTACATCCATATTTATAAGTTAAAGGATCTTGTGAAGTATAATACCTTTGCTGTCCTTTCTACCTGTCTGTCTAGGTATTCAGCTTCTGCAAGGAGACTGTTCCAATTATTATGCAGCAGGCAAACGGCATAATGGAATTTACAGAATTGCTCCTGATTCAAGAAATAATAGTTTTGATGTATACTGTGAAATGGAATCTATGGGAGGTGGCTGGACAGTGATACAGATGCGTCAGGATGGCAGTACCAACTTCAACAGAACATGGAATGAATATAAGAATGGCTTTGGAAACCTCAGCAGAGAGTTCTGGCTTGGAAATGACAAAATTCACCTTCTGACCAAAAGCAAGGATATGCAGTTGAGGATTGAACTTGAGGATTTCAATGGCATAAGAGAATATGCAAAATACGAACAATTCTACGTAGCCAATGAATTTCTCAAATATCGCCTAAGCATTAGTGGCTACAGTGGCACAGCTGGGGATGCCTTACATTATAACAAATATTATAACCATGATCAAAAGTTCTTCACTACTCCCGATAAAGACAATGACAGGTATCCATCAGGAAACTGTGGTGCATATTATAGCTCTGGATGGTGGTTTGATGCATGTTTGGCTGCTAACCTGAACGGCAAATATTATCATAAAAAATACAAAGGTGTTCGCAATGGCATTTTCTGGGGTACCTGGCATGGAGTTTCTGATGACAATATTAATAGTTACAGGCAACCTTTTAAAAAGGTTAAAATGATGATCAGACCCAAAAGCTTTATGGCATAAATTAGTAACAAGTACACCAACAATAAAAGGAATACTTTCTCCAATACTGGTACTGTCCCTCCAGTATTTGAGTGCATCTGCTATACTTCCAGTTTGACTGCCCTTTTCTTCAGAAGAAAAACATCTCTTCCAAAATCAAACTCATGAATTTTTTTGTTTAATACTGAATATGTAGGCAAATAATGTTTCAGTATGATCCATGAAAGCACATTCACGCGAGATACTTTTACCATTTTAAAAGAAGTCAGCAAAAGATTGATTCAATATACATTCTACTACTACAACATCACTTACAGAAGATGTGCCATTCACCATGTTTATAGAGTTGAGGTGCATAGACTGTTTCGGTTTTCCTCAGCAGTTTAGCTATCTCTCCATGAACTCTTCAAAGCTAATGAGTCTAAACTATCTCAAGTGCATGTAGGCTAAGACAAGCATTTGGTTCATTTGTCTGATACTAATTCATCCCCTCCTCATGTAATGTTGGAGGCTAAATTTTCCAGATGATAAAGATACCACTAATACCAGCCATCAATATTCTTTACCCTGGATTATGCCTGACAAAACTCCTCCTCATTTTAAATGGAATTCTATTAAATGGTATTAAGATAGCATAATGAGCCTAGTATTTGTATATCTCAAACTGATTATCATGATACTCACTGTCTTAGAAATATTAATGAACATAATTGGTTAGACTCACACTCAGATGATACAGTTACTACTGAAATGAATGAGACAAGTTAGCAATAAACTGCCTTAAATCCCATTTAATGTTAATAGTAATGAAGCCCTAATTTATGAGAGCTGGTATGGTGTGGTCTGGACTAAGACTCAGGCAAACGAGGTTTATTTTTGCTTCTATATGGAAATATGCCCACTAGGGAACAGCAATTGTAAACTGCTCCTTGAGCATCTTACATAGTTCAAGTACCTTATCAGAGTCACTGCAAATTAGAAGTCACAGGACAGCACATAAGAATAAGTCTCGATCTAACCCAAGATTTTCCAGCCCCAGTAGAGCATGTCTGATTTGATACATGAAGAACTGCAATAAAAATTTAAGATGTCTTAAAAGTTCCAGAGGGGAATTGTGACAGTGCAATCATTTGGTCCAGCTATGTCCGCAGCCACTGTATCTCACTTGAAACTCATCTTATAGCAAGAGTAGCTATAGAAAACTTAGCACTGCTAACATGCATTGCATAGCATCTCTTGGTAACTAGGCTACCAGAAGCCTACAATGGGACACAAATGACACAGTGTACTAATGACACAATCCCTTTAGCAGAGAGTGCAACAATATGGGATGATGCTGCCCTGTGTAATCCATGCCTTCCTTCTTCCATACAGAATATGTCAGAAATGGTCCGCCCTGTCTCGTTAGATAGTTCCATGCATCAGTGGATAAACACGCAAAATCTGATACCTAGAAGCACCCATTCTGTCATTCCGACATGCATTTGGGCCCCGTGACAATCCAAACACAGCTATAGAAAGCAACAGATCCCTGCAAAGCAACCCTCGCGCCTGTTGGAAAGGACTCTGGGATTCTCTTTGTACAAAGATGCTACTATGGCAATATGTTCCTACACTTTGCCACTTTAAAGGGATTTAGGAGCAATCCTATCCTAATCCAGAATGTAATGTTACATAGGCACAGAACTGCACTGTTAGAGTTCAGCTGGCAATTTAGTGTTGACCATGATATGCACTTAAGTGGCTTCCTCCAAATCATATCTAATGGAAGACTGAATTACAGTTGTCATTTGGATGTATATGCATTTGGATTAGGAACTAGAAGACAGGCTGTTTCCCATTTCAGATTTCTGCACTGAACCTTAGAATTTCTTTTTCTCTTCTAATAAAGATTAGGCAAGGTGCAAACAAAACCTGCAATACGTATTTATCTTCATTTGCTTTGATTAATTTTAATACCCTGGGGTTTTGTCCGTGGACACACAAAGTAGCTTATAAAACTATATAAAAATAAGGCACTAAAACATAATGGTTCTATAGGGGAACCCTGGAGTCATAAAATCTGGATGGTCCCAAACTCAGTTTTCAAAGTTCTACCACTAAATCACCATCTATCCCTTGCCCCTCCGCCCACCCAGGTCCTCTGCAGCTCAGCAGCACATTTTGTTCAATCTGTTACTCCTTTCATTTGCCATTTACCACAAATGATATTTTCTTATGTTTTAAAACATTACTTCAGATAGTTTTGATCTACTGTAACTACTCTCATTTCTTCAGGAATTATTTTCAAAGGTGAAAGAGGTGTATCCATGTGGTTATGCATTTTTTAAAAAAAATATATTTTTACACAAAAATATTACACACGAAGAATACTGTATAAAATTAATATTTAGAATACAAGAAGCCCTTTAGATTTTGCTTCAGAGTTAGAGCTTTTGTCATGTTATTGTCATTGCCAATAAGTAAAGCTGTATTGATGTATTTGTACATATGTATTTTTAAAGAGGCACACCTAAGTCGAATTGTGTCCTATTGCCCTGAGCAATATCACTGTGTTTCTTCCATTTTAAACATGTGTTTAAACTGGGGAGGAAAATAAATTTTAACAAGAGAGGCAATGTATAGTCTTTGATTCAGATGTCTTCTGATGTCATACATCACCACTGGCAATTACTATTTGCAAGCTATCAAGATGGAAAATAATCCTTTTTACAATGAATAATTGAAAGGAATTGCTTGGCATGATGTGCACTAAAAGATTTTTTTCCAAATCATACTGAAGTCTGTGGAAGATTAAACTACAGCTGTAATTTGGGGTTTTTTATACTGAATTTCTACAATGTATAGTGCTTAAAATTTGCAGTTTCTGAGTGCAATTCAGGAGTAAATGTGGGGATAGTACCTTTTACTGTGCTGAAAAGACTACAGAAGCAGATTCACGAGATGGCTATACTGTTATTTGCTCAGTTCTGGGAGCACCTGATTCATGATGGATTCTATCAATTATTTATTTGCTTTTTTCTGTTCTGCCTTTGCATTTTTGTAATCCATTTTATTTTTAACAACTTGTATAATCAGCTTTTGAGATGCAACACATATTGATATAATATAAAGATTGAGTTGGATAGAAATATCTTAAATACAACAAATAAAACAAACATTACATTAAATAGAATGTCTTTTGATTCTCATATTCAAAATTTATAAAAGAACATAAAATATCAAAATTAAAAACCAACATTTTGAGTTGCCCTTCTTTGGGATTGGGATGTAGACTGATCCTTTCCAATCCTCTGGCCACTGCTGAGTTTTCCAAACTTGCTGGCAATTAAATAATCTTTAGTTGTACTTAAAAAGAAAATTAAAAATACCAAAGATGTTAAAAGTAAAAATATATTAAAGAAAGTAATGTATTTTTCCGTGTATAAAATGACACTTTTTCCTAAAATCATTAGAGGAAAAATTGAGGGTCATTTTATACACGGAAGGAGGCAGAGGCAAGGGAGCAGCCATGCTCAGCCACCTCTCATGGCTGCCCATTGACTGCTTTCCTGACCATCCAATCACCTCCTCTAGTGCCAGGTCTCACCTCGCTGCCTTGTCCCGTCCTAAGGGAGCCCGCAAGTGGTGCTGGAGCCAGTGATCTGGCGGCAGCAGTCAATGGGCAGCAGCAAGAGGTGGCCGAGTGTGGCTGCCTCCATCTCCGCCTCCTGCTGTTGCTGCCTCCACTGCTGGGTTGCCTCCACCAGTGCCATTCGTGGTTCAGCATCAGGAGGCGGAGACAGAGGCAAAGGAGCAGCCATGCTTGACTGCCTCTCACTGCTGCTCAATGACTGCTTCCGGTGTTGCCAGATCACCTCTTCCAGGGCTACTCACAAGCTCCCTTCAGACAGGGGACAAGGCGGTAGTGTGAGCTGGAGGTAAGCCCCAGCAAGCTGCATTGGAGGAGGTGATCAGGCAGTGGAGGCAGCAGCAGCCAGAGACGGAGGAGCAGCTGCACTGGGCCACCTCTCATGGCTGCCCATTGACTGCTCCTCCACCTTTGGCAAGAGACAAAATTAGGAGGCTGTCTTATACATTGGGGGGTTGTACACATGGAAAAATACAGTAACTGTCGTAGCCTCTAAGCATATTATTAGACATACACAGAAAAATTACTGTAAGTGCTTACCCCAGCCAAACCAATTAAATTCTATGGAGTAAAATCCATGTTGATTGTTATTGTCAGCATCTGGAAACAAGTTCTTTGATGTGTGGTGCCTATTCTATGGAGTAAAATCCATGTTGATTGTCATTGTCAGCATCTGCAAACAAGTTCTTTGATGTGTGGTGGCCAAAGCAGCATGGAGCTGTGATGATGTGATAAACGCCTGTGAGAGTATCTCCTATCTGCACACATTTAAGTCATTTTAACTTCCTTCCATTTTCTAAACAAACCTTATCTGCATGGTCTACACTTTCTAAGGTCTTGTATGTACAGTCAGTTTTTTTCTATCAAAAATTCTATTGTACCAGCAGTCTTTCTGACTCTAGGGGTCTGTAATTTCGTATTTATCTGATTGCCATTATCATGGTTTTCATAATTGTTTTGGCTGTTGATTTTCCAAGCTTCTAGAACTCTAAAAATCTGTAACCCTAAGCTCTTAGACTAAATGACTCAATGTCATGTTTTAGGACATTAGACAATTGCAAACTCAGATCATTATTATCCTCAGTAGGGTCTACTATTGGACTGGCCAACACTATTTTCATATTTTCATCAAAAACAATTACTCCATTCAACCTTTAGTTTACTTCTGTGCTAAACTGGCAGATATGAATGAAATTCTTCATAGCGCTGTTATCATATCATTGATCTTGTTCTTAGGATTAGCTGGAAAACAGCTGATTGTTTAAAAAAGCAGCCAGTTGTTTAGAAATTCTTGCACCAGTTTTCCACTGCTCCTTTAAGAGTTTCAGTATGATTGTTTTACTCTCCAAAGCCCTTGGTGGAAGACCCATATTTGCCTACAGACAACCTCTCAACCTCTAGCAAATATTAACATATAATGGATCACAAAACAGCAACATTGACAGGGGGACTAAATCTTGCTGCAGACCCAGATG